ATACAGTTTAACACACACCCTCTGAGATATCTGATGCAGGTTACCTGAGAAGCACATTTTGAGAAACTCTGAAGAAAGGAGGTCACCAAGTAAGGGATCTCTCCCAGGGGCACTCTGTCCTCCAGGACCTGCAGTCTGTCTGTCTTGTCACACCTCTGCCGTGCTTCTGGCCTCACAACACTGGCACTGAACTAGCTGACACAGACATGGTTCTCTTGACACAGAAGTCTTCTGGTCCCCAGTGTCTGAAACTGCAGAATTCAGCTCTGTGACAATGATAATAAAAAGCAAATTCAAGAGCCCATAAAGGTTCCAACACTGAGCTAAGCCAGCAGAACTGTTGCACACACCAGCTATCAGGACAACCACATTGGAACCAGGACTCTGAAAGCAAATTTTCCCTCATCCAAAAATGCTCAGGCTGCAAATTTAGCCTCTTACTCAAGACTGCCTTTGGGTCTCATTCACCAAACAGACACCTGATGAAGAGGTGGAAGTAGCCATAAAACCAGGTTTTCACTGGAATCACCTGTAATGACAGGGATTTGGGCCAAATTTGCCTCCTCTCTGTCTCAACCTTTCTTCTCTAACAGACCAAAGCCTGAGGGTCACAATCCCCCAGATTGGACACACCTTTTTCACAAAATAACATTTGGATTTGTTGCTCAGCCTGGGACAAGGTAAGCAACAGGGCCAGGCTGTTTAGGGTGAGGGATTAAGAGGGCTTATAAAGTGGGAATTTAAGTGCCTTTAACCCTCAGGTCACACAAGTGTGTCCTAGGGGGTCTCCCTGGCCTTGCCCTAGACTAAACCCTGGTGAGGCAAGTTCAGTCTAGGAAGGGGAAATTGAGAAAGCCACTAAGGTGGGTTGTGAGCTCAAGACTCAGAGAAGTGACTGCCGTCCTTAAATATGTAAAAAATCTTTATGTCACACAGATGGAAAAGATTTATTCCCTGTTACTCCAGAAGACACAATTTGCGTCAAGTGGAACTTAATAGGAAGCCAGTTTCAGCTTAAAAAAAAAAAGAGCTATCACTACAACATTAGCTGATATTTATAGAATACTGAATTAAGGGCTTCACACAATAATGTCATTAATCCTCACAACTCTGGGACTCAACCTTATCATCACCATTATGCAGATGAGAAAACTGAGAATTAGGCCAAGAAAGTGGTCTAAAGTCACCCAGTTTCTAAATGGCAGGGCATGGCTGGGCCCCAGGACTGTCTGCTTTGATGCTCAGGCTCTTAACTACAATACTAAGTCACTTTCTATCAAAAATGAAAAAATAGGAGCAGGATATTATATTTAAGCAAAATCCCTATGACCATTTCTTGGTTTTATCATGTATATATGTTTAGAACAGTAAACCTTAAGGTGTTCCATCAATCCATTGTAGCAAGAAGGGACAACAGTGTGCCTTTAGCCCCTGAGGCACCAGCCAATGAAGCACACAAATATAATCAGTGCCCATGGAACCATGATATGAAAAAGGTGAGGAAGCAGTGTAAGACTAAGAGGACTTGTACTTCTGCCTCATTAATGTTACTATGGACTTAGGGTCCTAATCCTTAACCCAGGACACAGGGAAGAATCACCTTGTGCCCAAGCCATACCTGAGCCAATAATACCAAAATATGCAGGGCTGGGACCCAAAATCAAGGGGACTTTAATATACAGAAAGGATTGAAAACTGTTGTAGATGACAGTGCTCAGCAGGAGTAGAAAAAAATTTAAGTGATATATAAAAAGTATGCTTTTCCACAGGCAGATTATTAGCTATAACACAGGAAATCTAAATGGTCTCTAAATAAACCACATTGAAGAATGTCCGACCTCCCAAAGTTTTTGACCAAATTATGTCTTGCTCCAAATGTTACTCTTTTAGATCAGCAGGGCCTTGAACATCATGACTGTTGCAGAACCAGTTTGGTGGTGCACAGTGAGGGCCTGTCTGGTAGACTATGGTAACTGCCAAAGAAGTTTGAAGCAGGAATAATTAGCTGCCACTGCACAACCTTGCTTCAAGTTATGGTTGAAGGCATGTCTTACCCTAAGTTTTGCAGATATACTTATTAAACAAACACACATTAACCAAGCAGGCAAAAAGCAGTTTGTCAACCGGTCCGATGAGCTCAGTGAAGTCCAACTCTATGTCTCCTTAGGTTCAATACACCATGAATGAAAGGTTCACTGCAAACACAGCAACGTTCCCTGGCAGGGTGCTGTGCCCTATGGGAGGTGCGCTCAGTCAGAGACTCACCTAAACCAAGGACTCGATAGGGCACTGAGCTGAAGCCAAGCCTCAGGTACCACCATAGTGTTGAGTTAGTTACACACCCTGCACATTTCTACCAACCAATTCTTACATGGGGAGCAGGGAAGGGTTTTTAAACTATTCTAGCCAGCCTACATGTTTAGAATACCCACAACTTCACCAGTGAGACTCCACTTCACATTTATTATGCGAATTTTGAGTTACTCATTTTACCAGTAAAACCCATTTTTTACATACAGAATGCTGTCAAGACTTCTGTTGTTGTTGCCCTCTGGCTGGGGAGGCTCAGTGGGTTGGGGGTTACCCCACAAACCTAACGGCCACTGGTTTGATTACCAGTCAAGGCACATGCCTGGGTTTCGGGCCAGGTCCCTTGTTGAGGATATGCAAGAAGCAAGAAGCAACCCATCGATGTTTTCTCTCTCTCTCTCTCTCTCTAAAAATAAATAATTTTTTTTAAAAAAAGACTTCTGTTGTTGTAGAGAAATAGATCGCTGAAGAATTTGTATAGGGCAGGAGTGTGGTCCTTTCTAAACAAAACTAGCTGGCCACTCAACTAGTATTCTTGACAACATGTTAGCTGGCCAACCACCTCTAGAAGCAACTTTGGTTATCATGTAAATTACTGCTATTTTTGTACCAACACTGAGTAACACAAGGTCCATTTAGTACCAAGTGTGTTGGTCCTTATGCTGTGTGTGAAAATATTTCCCGGTGGCTAACGGGAATCAGTAAAACTATGTGTTTATGAAGTTATCTGGTTTATTTGGTGATGATTATGAACAATGTTTCCAAAGCATGGTCTCACTGACTTCTTTTCATAATTCAGATTACAGATGACCCGTTGCTAACCAGCCTCTTTCTAATCCCAAAGCCACTGTAGAACCAGGGCTGGGCTAACATCAATGAAGTTCCCAAGGATGAATGACAAAAAGTAAATGGCTTTCTGACACCAACTGATAAATTACTCTTGATACTAACATTTATATGCAACTTCTCTGATTTAAGGAAGGTAGGCTGATGTTCTTAGTTCGTTTTGTCCTTAATATTTTTTGATGTCTTTATAAAGGCTATTGATATATACTTTAGGGCATTGCCAATTGGAAAACATTTCTATATTCATTTTACATTTTTGTCTTCTCAAAGTAAATCTATATTTTTACCACTTCCTAGAAGCAGATGTTCAATTTTTCAGATTTTTAAAGCACTATTTACTGAGCAACCATGATAAATAAAGCTTTATACAGATCCAAATGGATAACAAAACAAAAAAGAAAAGAAAACCCTTCATAGACACTAAGCAAATGTCAGAGTGCACATCAAACTGGAGTAGAAGATGGAGGCACAGAATGACTGATGAGTTTTTGGCAAGCTACAACAGCATAGTTTCTCTGTAGAAACTGCCAAAATATTTTCAGACATAAAGTAAAAATAGAAACCAGCATTTAACTCAAAAGCTGACTGTAATATGGTCAAAAGTTATACACAGGAGCAGAAAAAAATAAAACTAAACCTTATTGCTGGTAAAAAGCTGGCACAAATGTATCAACAACCAATTCTGAGTGAATTTGGTTGTTGCATTTTATAGAAGAAACAGGGTTTCAAGGAGGGTTTCAAGGTCAACTCCAAGAAACATTATTCCTTTCCTGTGTTTAACGATGATGGTATCACTTGAGGGGAGCTCAATATCCCAAGGTTCATTATGACTTAAGGAGGCAAGTTCAAGGTTTGGTAGTGAAGAGTCCTGTATGGCCACTTTTATTTCTAAGCATACCATTGACCTTGAGTTACAAGAGCAAATTCCTTCAACTTCTCACTGGGTTTTATATGTTCCACCAGTGCTGTTTTATTCTCTATACAGAGAGCTATACACTGAAGAAACAATTAACTCTGGCAAAGTAAAAAGAGTTCAATGTACAATCAGAACAGTAAGTTTCATTACTGACTCAAAGTCTCTTGAGGGTGGTAAAAACCAGTGATAAGAACTTTAATAATTAATTCCCTGACTTGTTGTTGTTGTTGTTGCTGTTGTTACAATATCTCACTCACCTGCACTCAGCCAACTAAAGTCTTCAACAACTGAAGCACCAGGTAAACCAGGACATAATAGAATGTACTTCACTGGAGATTTACATGCAAATTGAAACGTGTGATTCAGCATGCAAACACACAGTAGAAAACCTAACATTTAGCATTGAGGTCGGCAGGGCTAGACAAGGCTAGACTGGCGTGAGGGCGGGCAGGAACAATATTTAAGGGGGAGCCAAAAAATTCAGTAATTGAGATAAATAATATTTCCATGTCATATTTAAAACATAAATGAATGGGGGGGGAATCCATGTTGAACAAAACAGCATATTTTTTAAAAAAAGAATTTTAAATAAAGAAGTGCCATGCACTGCACATAAGACCCAGAATCAAAACGGGGAAAGAAAATTAGTAATACCGATAGTGCCTTTATTAAAAATTTTGATATTTCATTCATCGTGGATTTTTTGCATCCATTTTGAGCTTTTAAAATATTGCCTACAAGTTCTGTTCCTCTCGATCACCGTGCCCTCCAGGAGTGTGCCTGGCTCAGCTCCCTGCAGTCCCAGACCTGGGGCGGTTAGTGCCAGTTCCTAGGAAAGCGGAGGGAGTACACCTGGCCGCCAGGGGGGCAGGTGCTGTGGGTAGAAGTAGGAGCGTGGGAGCCCACTCCTGGGGCAGCCCGAACCTACCTCGCTTATTGTGCGTGCCGTGCTTCTTGGCCAGCGTGAGTTCTCTCTGGATGCGGTTTTCCAGGTACTCCTGTTTCTTGCCCAGCATCTCTTCAGTCTCCCGAAGTCGGGCCAAGGCTTCCTGAGGGCTGGGGGCCTCTCGGCTCTTAGAAGAGCCTCCCCCTTTAAAGAACTTGCCCAACTTGCTCATGTTTGGGTAACTGGGGGCCGCCTGGGGCCTAGGGAACGAGACAGTACTCCGTCTCGGGTTCCGACCTCAAAGGCAGCGCTCCTGGGAATCAACAAGTGGTCTGGGCAGGTGACACACACTCCTGGGCATTTCCTGGCGCCGGCGCCCCGCCCTCGGCTCGGCTGGGTGGGTAGGGCTCTTGCAGTCGGACTTGGCCGCCGGCGCGACCGGCCTGGGGAGCTCCGGGACAGCTGGGAAAAAACGCAAAACTCCGGCAGGACCGCAGCAGAGTTGTAGCTTTGTCCATGCTGGGGGCGCGCTGGAGCTAAGGAGAGTAAACATCCGTTCCAGGGGTCTTGTGCGGCGCCTGAAAGCGCACGAGAATGACACCCAAATAAACAAAATGTTTTATTCCACGCATGTCCTGTGTGTTTTTGGTTGTGAGTGTGTGCACAGTGTTCCTGTACGCAAGTCTCTGTCCTTGTGAATAAGAAGATGCGGATATGTTAATCTAGGTGTATGTCCTGTGGGCATGAGTGTGTGGAGGCACCTGCTTCCAAGACATGGGTCTGCTACTATGATGCAGGTATGTGGCAGGAGGCTCATCTATTAGCAGCTGGTCTCTGGGACTTGTCTGCAGATGAGGAATCTGGGCAGGTCCTGGTGTGCCTGGTTGCTATCACATGGGTCATTTCTACATCATCCTTACATAGCTTGAAGTGACTGAAAGATGGTGGTTATATGTTTCGCCAATGTCTGGACTTCCGAGTGAATTTGGTTGTTGCTTTCAATTCTGTAATTAGGAAACAAGCATTCAGCACGATGGTTAGTGTAGCAAACACTTTTAATGGGGCGCCGTCGTGTTTGGCTCTACATCAGATGCTTTTACTGAGACACCTAAATAACAAAAGGAGCAAACATCCCAGAGTAAAGAAACATTCTTTTGTTCAGGCTCACTATCTCAGTCCTACCTATGAGACCCACAAACAGAGTTTGGTAAGCTTAAAGGACACCAATATGTAATGACTACAGCTGACACTGAGCATGTCACCAAGAAGTGGAATGTGGACTTGAGCCTGTGTTCTGATCTTCAAGGGCTATATGTACCCCACACAGTACAGCCCTATTTGAGTCATTACCCAACATCATCAGAACCTACTTGTGATTGTTAGCAAACCACTGATGGTTAAAGGAGAAAAAAATCATCAATTACTATGATAAATACACCCCGATACCCAAGATCAATAACCCAGTTTGTCTGTCATCATACTAAAACAGAGCAGCAGGTCAGCGAATTTTATCCAAGACTGGAATAGCCAGCATCAAATTTTGCCAAAGTAATTGGACATTTTCATAGGAGGTTCATTGGTTTATTTCTTACACACACAAACATAGGAACTTATCATTTCCCAAGAACCACAGCCAACCACTTCTTGTCATCTCCTGCCTGGTCATCCAAAACACTTAAGATCTGTAAGACATATTTTGCCCTAACCTTCTCTGTATTGTAAACTGTAATAAGTATTATATTTTATTATTGTCTGAATATTTTATGAACCTGTTTTGGAACATATTTCTGGGTCAGATTGTAAGCCCCTTGAGAATTGGGTAAGAGCATGTATTCTGCTAAGGTTCCTATTGCTGGTCAGTTTAATCAAACTTTACCTAATGTATCTATCTGTAAGGTGTTGGGAATACAAGTGTAGTCTGCCCTAAAAAACCTTACCTTTCAGTGGTAACAGTAACATCATTTTTCCTAAGTGCGTACTACAATACTATAACCCCAACATGGTTCTAGGTACTAGAGATTCAGCAGCAAAAGAACCCTGAAACCCATGCATTTTTTTTCTTTTTTTTTTTGGAGTCTACCTTCCAGTTGGGGAAAGGCAGACAATGAATTAAGAAAATAATGTCCTATATGAGCTATGTGGTAAAAAGTGTTAGAGAATTGGAATTTTAGACAACTTGTGCCAAAATCTTGTGTCTAAAATCTTAGGATTCAAAGGAAGACCAGGATAGAAGGGGCTTGGAAACAAGAGGAAAGTACAGTGAGATTGTCTGTAAAAGTAGGCAGAGTCCAGGGTCCATAGGCTGTGCTAATAAGAATCTTGTATTTTATCTGAAGAGCAAATGAGAATCAATCAGAAATTTAAAAAAATTAATCATTAATTTGTGATTCAGTGGAAAAAGGAATCCGTTTTACCCAATTTAATGTGTAGTACTTTCAGAAACACATGTGATGTGCAAAGCAAAAAACATTTGATTTAAAAATCATTCCCTTCCATTAATACATAACCTTAGTAGAGAAAAGATAATACTTGCAAACAAGCAAGCAAATCATCCAAATATATATTAGTGCTTAATCCAGCAATAACATATGGAGAATAAAATTTTAAATCAGTGATGTAGAAGCTGAAAAAAAACACATTAATCTTCATTCAATACTCGTCCTACAGATATGATTTCATGAAGAGTTCTCAGTATCTTGTATATTTTTCATTTTCTAATCTCAATTGATCTCAGCTAATAAGACGGCTGTTGTTCGAAAGAAAAGTCTTGTTCAGGATGATTTACCACTGGTAAGATGGCGAAAGAAATTGGAAATTTATAAATCTGTTAAAAAGACCTAGATGTCAGGCTAATAGATACATTTTGGCCACCCCTTAGAATTACATCCATTTTTAGAATGTCAAATGAACTCTCTAAAGCAACAGAAGAAGAATTGCCCTTTAAACACACAGCAGAGTCATCAACAAATAGTTATTTATTAAGCAGCTCAACAAGCATGTATATTCATCAGCAGTTCTGTTTCATAGAACCAAATATTCATTGTATCACAATAATTAGTACAAAAGTAGCCATTTTAAAAAATAATAATTTTTTAAAAATAAAATTGTATTGCCCTAATTTGTAATGAAGATATATGGTGCCTGTGACTGAGTTTTGCCTGTGTAGCTTTTCATTCATGTTTCTTTCTCTGTCCATCCTTAACCAGAAAAAAAGTGACAAAATCAAAGGATTATCAGATTTGGCTATAAAATGTTTTCTACACCAACCATTTAGTGGTTATAAAATGAGATATAGCTCTCTACCTCAATATCATCCATATTGCATAACCTACCCAAAGTTGATTCTTACACTTTCCTTTCCCTCTAGAATTTTGTTATACCTGCATACGATCCCATGAGATTTTGGAGCTAGTCAAGGAACACACAGATTACCTCTCAGTTAATAATTACAGCTTTCCTTTTGTTCAGGCCAAAAACCTTGGGGTCATCCTTGCCCCATCTCTTCCTCTCACACCTCACATCCAACCCATCAACAAGCCCCATGGTCTCTCAATACTACAAAACTGACCCCTTACCACCTCCACCACCACCACACCCACTAACATGCTGCTCCAACTCACTCTAGGCTCTTCTGCTAGATATCACGGTGGACTTCCAACTGACCTCCCTAGGATGACCTTGACCTTCCTGCTGTCTCCCTGCAGAGTGAGCCAGGGTCAGACCCCCCACTGACTTCCCATGTCATTCCAGACTCAAAGCTAAGGTCTTCACAAGTGTCTTCAAACCCCTCCATGAAGTGCTACCAACCCCCACCCTCACATCACCAGTACCTCCCTGTCCAATCTCCCCTCCCTACTAGTTCACTCTGCTTCAGCCACCCTGGCCTGCCTACACTGGCTCAGATTCACCAGGCACATTCTTACTGCTCTTCTGCTTGGATGGCTGACTCACACACCCATTTTGTTCACTCATGCTAAAGTTTTGATTTAGAACATGGTATGCAAGATAAACTGAAAAACAGAGAGAAGAAATTGTTTTATTTGTTATGTGAATTATGGAATATCTTACCTTTTATTTGTTTTATTTATTTCCTGTATATTAGTGAGATATTGCCTTGAGAATGCTGTGTTATAAAACATCCCAAAACTCCAGGACTTATAAACATAAGCATTTATACTGAAGCTCACAGACCTGCAGGCCTATGGAAATTTGGCTGGGCCAGGAAAGGCTTGTCTGGGTAGCTCTTCTTCACACTGTGGGTTGACTGAGCTTGGCTCCATGTTGTGGGTTGGGTTATGGTCCATTCCATGTATCTTCATTCTGGGACCAGGTCGAATGGCATTGTAATAAGTTGAAAAAATTACGATAATGAATGAAACATCAGTCCAGCCATCAAAGTGGTTATAGCCTGTAAGGTTACAGCCTGTAAGGGAGAAGATATGCATAAAAACAATTATAATAACATTTAGAAATAACTATGTTTAATAGAGAAGTATTGCTAGAACATAATAAGAGTCCAAAAGAAGGAGTGACTCCTCAGTAGTGGGAGGAATAAAGGAAAGCCTTAGAGAGGAGATGAAATTTGAATTTGGCCCTCAAGCTTGGGTAAGAATATGATTTGTACAGATGGGGGAAAGTACATTCCATGACAGAGAAAGTAGTGCAAGACCCAGAGATGAGGAAGCCAAGGGCATGTACAAGAAACTTGTAATAATTCAACTTGGTTCACACATAGACGAATTAAGAAAAATCATTCATTTATCCAATAAAAATTTATTTTATATTTAAAAGTAGACTCAGGACAATTAAACTACAATGGACGGGAAAAACAGACATGGTTCTTGTCTTCATGGAGCTTACATCTTAGAGGGGGAAGCAAACTTAATCAAGTAATCATACAAACAAATACCAAATCAAATCTGGGATAAATGCTTTGAGGGAGACATGAAGTGAACGTAATACAAGCAGGATGTGTCTTACTACTAGAGAACAAAGAATTTCCTAAGGAAAAGATACTTGAAGTGGCAGTTAAAGGAAAGCACAAACAAACTAGATCAAATGGGGAGAAGAGCATTCGAAGTAGAAGAAACAGCAGGTATAATTGTCCTGTGGCCATAGGGAGCTCAGAGTTTGAAGAGGCATGTGAGAGATAATGAGTGAGAGACAAGTAGGTTGGGCCAAGATTTGAAAAGCTTTAAAAGCCAAGCAGAGGCATTGCTCTGTAGACTATAGAAGCTCCTTGAAGTTAGGGATCAAGTCTTATTCAATCTGTACCAAATACAGAATAGTATCTGATATTCAATAGATGCCCCAAGCACTTTC